TAGACATTAAAGGCAAATAATGGTTTAGGCAAATTGTGCAATCCAAAAGTTGCCATACTTCAAGCTACATTCTTCCTTCAAAACTATATAATCTAAATTTTGTTTTAATTATACTTTCAAGCATGGAGATATTTTGTTTGTAAAACTTAGCAGAAGGATAACTGCATGATAGATAATATTCCTATTACATTTCCATGCTGAAAACCATGTGTTCTAAGATTGTGGAGCCAATAGATTCCAGGATTGTGACAAAGATTCAGTCAGCAATAAAGAGATCATTTCAGATTTCAGAATAACACAAAGTTATAGTGACCGTATAAGAAAAAAGTACAAAATTGGATCTTAAAAAACTTAATTTAGAATCATTTGGGATGAACGTGTTGCCAAATGGTTAACTTGGTCCTCAAAAGCAAAAGTTGATAATACTTAGAAGCCATGCAATTGTGGAACGAACTGCAGTTCATATTTGAGGCATACAAGTTGCTAATCAAAAACTTCCAAGCAGAAAATATTTCATTTTCTCAGGCTACCTAATGGCTTTGAGTTCAATATGTGGTTGTCAAAGCCGCCACACACAACAAACTTATAATCACAGTGCAAGATCAACCAATATAATTGGAGAAAGCTAAAATTGAGTTAGTTAGGCAGAAAAAACTACAGGAAACAAGTTGAATGAACAATTGGAGAAAAAGTGATTTTCCTATATGGTCACCATCATTGCAAGTTTTGGAATGGGGCTTATCTGGGCAAAAGCAAATAAACTGATGGTCATCAAATCCACAGCGCCCACCACTGCTCTCACAATTGCCGCAACTATGTGCAGTCCAATTCAAAAGGAAACCCATCTTCAAGATTTCAGAATAATTTGTTTTCACCAGACTAGTGAAATTACAGTTACTACCCATTCCCAATATTGGGGCATTAACAAAAGACTGGCATGACTTCAATGAGTAGTTCATGTACTCCAAAACATCTTTATCGAAAACAGCAAAAGAATGGAGGGAAGCATTGCTAACACAACTTACTGGATAATACGTAGGGTAAACTGGCTGGTCACTTCAGTTATATAAGAAGGAAAAATTCAAACTATCAGAACTAAGGCCGAATGGAGTTTGATGAAGAGTAAAATTTCGCAGTGGAATTGGACATATTTCTTCACAGACCACAGCACTGACTACAAGCAATGAATTGTTGTTGTAGAATATGTCTTTGATGATATAATGGTCTTCAGAAATAGGAAGAACTGGGCTTTTGTCTTTGCAGGTGATCTCAAAGTTTGGCCAGCCACAAAATGAATATTGTTCCTGAGAAATCCAAAAAGGATAGCTAACATTGGGGCCATTTCCGCATGATCGAGGCACACAAGCCTCAAATTTTGAGTCAAGGGACAGAGTTTCATTAGCTAGGGTGCTCAAAGAGATGATAGCTATACATCTCTGAAGAAATTTTCTCAAAACGGAGAAGCTTTGTGGATCCATCTCGGGGAAAGCAATGGAGGAAGCACAATACAGGGAAGAGACATGGAGACAAAATGGATGGAAGCATTGGGACAAAAATTCCATGGTGGTTGCCTGTTTGGTATGACTTGGTTTTGTTTCCTTAAAATTCTTCTTTTTTGAAAACAAGAGAAAGACAGAACAGAAGTTTAGAAGAAAAAGCAAAGATTGTTTACCATATCATTTTTCTTTGTGCTGCTGGAGTCAAAACAATGATGCATTTCTGAACCCATGCATCCATTAGCCAACAAACTACTATACAAGGTGTGGAGAGGTGCCTAACAACTAGACTTTGAAATGCATTTTGTGAGAAAATTATAGAAACTGTAGATACTCCCAGAGAAATCATGAGAGGAAAAAAGGAAAAAAGGAAAAAAGGAATTGTTTAAACGTCAAAAATAATGTGTTGATCCTCATATCAGGCTCTAAAATTACATATCTTGTCCTCAGAGATAGCCATAGGACTGTTTTAGTTTGTGGGTTGAAGGTCTTACCTTTTAAAGGATCCAGTTTTCATGCCGAAATCCTTGTCATTGATTTTGCTGCTCAATTAGGAAAGGAGTTAGGATGCAAAGATGTGATAGTAGAAACAGATAGTTCACAGGCGCAGCTGTTGTGAACTCAAGTGATGAATGCTTCCTCTCAATAGGAGCAGTAGTAGATGACCCTCGAGCTAAAGCTGAACATTTCAACTCCTGCATTTTTAAATTAGCTAGTAGAAACTGTAATCAGTTAGCACATGGGATTGCTCAGTTAACTTCGCCTAGTGTCACATGGGAGGGTGTTTGGTTTAGATCACTCCAGGCTCTAATTGTAATAAGGAGGCTATTAATTTATTCATTTTATCAAAAAAAAAAAAAAAAAAAACCCCAAAGATTTGGTCTAATGAGCACAATAGGCAACAGACAAGTTTAATAAGCTTGAGCAGAAACCGGAATGACAAAAAGCAGTCAAATAGGAAGAAGTCAAAGGCTTTGTTAGCACATGCTAAGCTAAATTGACAGGAAATTTCTATGAGAAGAAAACTCAATCACTGGAATAAACTTGGGTGTTCAATTTCATGTTAAGGAAAACCTTGGACTCCAAAGTTAACCCTCTTTCATAAATGGTGACATCAGTATGATATAATAAAAGACGTAGTCTGCCTTTTGGAATTGGTCAATTGGAAAATCCCTAGCATGAGAATAATCATATCTAACAAAAAATAAATGAGGGCATAAAAGAAAGTAGAACGTTAGGTGGGGCACTTTTTGTAGGATAATAAGATTGGAAATACTTGAGAGAGACTTGGTCGGTTGAACAGGAAGGAGAACCCACATCAGGAAGGAGACTTTTTTATAAGATAATATATTGGAAAAAAAGGAGAGATGTCTTTTGCCACTTCTTTTAATTGCATTCTAAAACAAAACTTTGGAGAAAATGATAGTCCAATAAATAACAGACACAAAGATATGCTGAATGAAAGACCAAGATGGGTTTTAGATCGAAATTTGCAGAGAATCGAATATTTAAAATACAAGCATTCACATTTCACTATATAAAGACAGATGATGGGCATTGACGTCAAGGATGGGTGGACAAATGCAGTCAGTTAGCGTGTTTTAGGATCCTATGAATGGGACCATTGACATGTTCAAAGCAGGCAAGAGGACTACATCCAAAGGAGACCCACCAATGCACTGAATGTCAAAAATAGGATCTTTACAGGACTACTGAAATAAACAAGTTGAAAACAGTCCACCAACTGCCAAAAGAAACATACCCTTCTAATTCTAAGTCCTAACCTTGGATTTGTGCTTTTGACACAAGTCATTGGTATTCCGCTTCACACAGTTTATCTTACTGTAATGCTAATTGCAAAAATTAACTGGGCCTTAGTGAAAAAGGATTAGAAACTAACCCAAGAAGACCAGACTAACTCAATTTTCAATGGATTAATAACTATTAATTAACAAACCTTTTGTATAACTAAGAACAGTAATTGAAATGAAGATTATTGTGCAGTACATACCCTTACCACCGCATTCTACTCCATAAGGTCCGTC